TCCGAACGAGCAAAGCTGATATCGGCGTTCGTCTGCCCATTTGGGCACTTCCAATGGACTCGAATGTCATTCGGACTCAAGAATGCGCCACTGATATATCAGTCAGTTATTAACAACTGTCTGTGGGGATTTGTGAGACTGCTGCCGGAAGAAGAAGCAGAAGTCGATCAAGATTTTCCTGGATTTCCTAGGTTTGGATCCTGCAGAGAGTCAAGAATCCGGAAGGGGCTGTCCAAACGACGAGGTGAAGGGACTCACAGCCTCAATGACGGTTTTCCAAAGGTATATCGACATGCCTTTACCCATCGGTCCAGTACTAGGACGCAGTTCTTATATCGATGATATCGCCCATGGCGCGAAAACAAGGAACCAAAGGTGTGAGGACCTGGACACTTTGCTCTATCGCTTACGTTACTGGAATATCTCGGTCAGTTTGCCCAAAAGAGAGTTTGGAAAACGGTCGATCACATGAAATTAGTGCGGAAGGTATCCGAGCGACCCCAAAAGTTGCGAAGGGTGTTATGGATCTACCGTTCCCGAAATCTCACAAAGGTGTGCTATCGTTTCTCGGAAGTCTAAACTACTACCATAAGTTCATCGAAGATTTCCCGGTAGTGGCAGCGGTTCTTTATGAACTTTCAGAAGCCCAGACACGTCAGGGGCGAGATCTCTCACGAGCTCATCAATCTTTCGAACTGCTCAAAAGAAAAATCGTTGCGACACCAATGTTAAGACATCCGGATATCCCAAAGCCATTTGTAGTTATTCCACACGCGAACCGTTGGGCTGCTTGTGCAGTCATAGGACAAGAACACGACGAGAAGATACAACGTGTTCGGTACACGGGACGCGATTTGAACGATGCTGAACTGCGGTATCACATTGCTGAAAAGGTGGTAGTTGCCATCCTGAGGGCGTTACAAGTGTTTCGGACGATTCTGGAAGGCCTACAACTGATCATTTACACAAGATATTATGCTCTGAAATGGGTGTGACAGTCTAAATCGGCAGACGGAAGATGTGTTCCATGGGGAGTCACGCATTCACATTGGGATATTGAAATCCGAAAAGTCCAAAAAGACGAAGATGGCCTCGCGGCCATCATGGGTGCAGGGATCACACCACGAGAACATTTAGATGAGGCCGTCGAGACGCTAATTCCTCTGAAGTTCGGAGGCCTTCAGTAGTGAGTGTTGAGATGTTGGGAAGTGATTTCCAAGGAGACGTTCTGAGTTTCGACGGTACCGCAAAGCCCTCCACTAAGAAAGGAAGCTGTGGTTGTGGGTTATGGCAACTACCCGGTTGGAAGGTTCTGAAAGCGAAGGGATTCTTGTTAGAGCACGTCACGGTAAACGATGCCGAGTACCATGGACTTCTCAAAGGACTCGAGATGGCCATCGAAATGAGGCTGAAGGATCTAGTCGCAGTTGGAGATTCTCGAATTGTTATTCAACAGGTTCAAAGACTGATCAACTGCAATCAACCACATCTCCAAAAGCATCTTGTCAAAGTTGAGCTACTGACAGAGAAGTTCGGATCGCTACGTCTGGAACATCTGAAGCCGGAGTACAATCAGGCTGCCGATTATTTAACCACGAAGACTTTGATTCTGGATAAGTCATGGGACGTTACGGATACGGCCGAGATTGCGCATTTGGAACACGTGTCAAAGATCGCAGAGAAAATCATGAAGGTGGAAGACTCCGAATTGAAAACTGGGGTTGATCCAACTTCTGGGGAAACACTGTCCAGAGACGTCGAGCAGCCTACTGCGGAGTCAGTTCCATTGACTAAACCAGCCCGCGTGTTTGCAGCAGTAACGCGTTCCAGAAGCCAAGCCGAATCCACTTCGAGGGACCGACCCAGACCCTTTGGAATTCCAAGCTGAACGATGGCGACGCATTCAAGTACACCAGGACGCAGATGAGTACTGATCAGAGATCAAAGACTTTCTGAAGGAGGATTTCGAGACGTTTTCACCTAGAAGACTGAGAAAGGTTGCCAAGGTTGCCGATCTATTTGTACTTGACACTAGGGATGTGTTGTATCGACTAGCTCGCTCGACTCGTGATCGCCCGCGGGACTTTCAGGATGAGCCCCGACTCGACGTTTCAAAAGCACTCCGGGACGGTGTCTTACATTATGGTCACGAAGACTTCCAAGGAGGTCACCAAGGCATCACCAGGACCCATAAGAGGTTATGTTCATAATTCTATGGGCCTGGCATGTACGCAGATGTAGAACACTTCGTGAAGGAATGTGTTGATTGCGCGAGTGGAAAAGAAAAACCTCCAAACGCTGGACCATCGCCCTGGAATATCGAACCCCGACAACCGTTTGAAGTCGTGTCGATGGAATTCGTAACGGACATGCCAAAGTCCGATCGAGGAAATATGTTTTTGCTGCTGTTCCAAGATATGTTTTCGGGATACGTAATATGCAAACCGATGGATTCAACGACCGCTGAGGACGTCGCG